ATAAACCGTTAGTCAGTATTATTAATAAACCGTTAGCAACCGCTCCTGCAAGGTTGCAACGAATGCTTTTACGCCTCCAGCCGTATGAATTCAAGTTGGTTTATAAGCCGGGTCGCTAGCTTTACATCGCAGACGCACTGTCGAGGGCAGTCGCACCGGACAAGTATGAGTCGACACTGCCGCGCGATCATCTCGACGCGCAAGCGCAGGTGTGCGCGCTCACCGCGAGCAATCCGTTGACGGACTCGCACTTCTTATCTATACAGAAATGTATCCAGGAAGATATAGAAATACTAATATAATAATAATAATAATAGATAATAGAAATACTAATATAATATAATTATAATAATAGATTATAATTAAATGATATTAGTATTTTTAGTGTTTAGAGTTCGGCGCCCGCCAGGATATTGACCCTATTGTCAGCTGATGTTATTTTTAAGTTTCACTGCTGGTTTTTTGTTTAAGTATTTTATGATTTTTTTTTAATGAAATATTGTTTCGTTTAGCTGTACTAACATGATGGAGCATGAATAAAGTTAACAAAACATTGTGAAAATATGATTTTTTTTCCTCGGAATCAAATTTATTTGTGACCCATGTGCTAAGGTGTAGTACCTACTATTATCTGTCTTCGTTTTCGGGAGCGTTTCACAAACACCCGGTATATCATTATCATTCATAATTAAACAATATCATCATCATCATCATTACAGCCCTTCACAAGTCCACTGCTGAACATAGGCCTCCCCCAAAGAATGCCACAAAGCACGGTCCTGAGCCACCTGCATCCATCGACTTCCTGCATGTCTTACCAGGTCGTCACTCCATCTCGTGGGGGGACGCCCCACACTTCGCCTACCGGTACGAGGCTGCCACTCGAGAACCTTTCTTCCCCATCGGTTGTCGGTTCTTCGAGCTATATGGCCGGCCCATTACCACTTCAGCTTACTAATCCGTTGGGCTATGTCGGTTACTCTGGTTCTACTGCGGATATCCTCATTCCTAAGTTTATCACGCAGAGAAACTCCGAGCATAGCCCTCTCCATAGCTCGCTGAGCGACCTTGAGCTTCCTCATCCGGCCAGCAGTGAAGGACCACGTCTCAGTTCCGTATGTCATCACTGGCAACATGCACTGGGTGTACAGTCTCGTTTTCAAGGTTTGAGGTATACCTGACGAGAAGATGTGCCGTAATTTCCCGAACGCTGCCCAACCGAGTTGAATCCGTCGATTGACCTCTCGGTCGAAGTTGGACTTACCTAGCCGGACTATTTGTCCCAGGTAAACATACTCGTCAACAACTTCGAGCTTAGTGTTCCCAACAACTACCGGCATAGGTGTGACATAAACATTAAACATGATCTTAGTTTTGTCCATGTTCATCTTAAGACCTATCCGTTGGGAAACACTATTGAGGTCATTGAGCATAGTGCTTAGGTCCTCCAGCGATTCTGCCATAAGGACTATATCGTCGGCAAATCGAAGGTGAGTGATGTACTCGCCATTGATGTTGATACCGTATCCTTCCCAGTCCAGAAGCTTGAAAACGTCTTCCAATGCAGCGGTGAAGAGTTTCGGGGATATGACGTCACCCTGTCTTACACCTCTCTGCAATTGGATAGGTTTCGTACTCCGGTTCTGTACTTGGATAGCCATCGTAGCCCTACTGTACAAGCACTTCAACACTTCGATATACCGACAGTCAACTTGGCACCGCTGAAGGGACTGCAGCACCGCCCAAATTTCGACGGAATCAAAGGCTTTCTCATAGTCCACATACGCAGACATTGTGGCAAATTGTACTCTTCGGACTTCTGTACAATTTGCCGAAGGGTATGTATGTGCCGAAGGGTATGTTGAAACCCGGAGCAAAATCCGTTCTGTAGTTGCGAATAAAAACGAAGATAGACCATCGCAGCGTTGATCTTGGTTTTATATGAGATATAAAGCTTGCGTCTAAGGCTTAAGTCTAAGTCTAAGGTTATCGACGACTTAGGTTGTTAACAGATATGGGTAGAAAACATCATCGATAAATACTATAGACAAGGAACTCGGCAACTTTATTAAATTTTATTGTTTATCAAAACCAAGGAGGTTATAATATAACAAAACTCAGTAATCTAAAGCGAAACATGTTGGTATATAATTACGATAATAACATTAGTAACAAATTTTAAGCACATATATTATCAAATATTTTATTTTTTATATTAGCTGTAAATTCACTTCCTAATGGAATGTTATCCCACTTTCCTTGTGGTAACCAGTTTTACACTCATTATTACTAAAAATAATTTTTATTATATAACTAAAATAAGTATATGTATTCAACTTACACAAAATACTTTCATTTTTTCGTTTAAAAGTTTAAAATACAGAGATAAGATTTAAAAAACACAACAGACTGGCATATTACGTCAATTTTAGTTCCCGGTACGAACAATGGCAGAGATTCAAATCGACACAAACATTATGTAGGGTTAAGCCAGTCCATCGTACTAACTTGTATATTATATAGAGGTCAGTGCATGCCTACTAATTACTATACGTAACCAATGAAGGTAGCTTAATAGTTTCAAAATCATCTGAATTACATCTGGATGGTTCTCGATATAACGTAGTGATTTTAAACTCTTTGATCATTGAAACAAATCGGTCATAAATGGTACATCACGAACTTGCAACGTCGCGGATCGACGGATGGGTTGGCGGGTGAGTTCAAATATAAAAACAAAAAGATAAAAAATTACAGTTGCTATATTCGAGTGCGACTGCATTCTTTTAGAGATTTAAGTTACACCAAATTTGCCATTAACTGTGTATCGATCCACATCGTTCTTTTGATAGTTTAAACATCTCGGACTCGCTCAATTTAAGACGGTTTTTTACGAGAGCTTGACCGCCGGTGGATTGCTCCTTTTGTTTCATCATTGAAATAATAGTTTGAAATGGAGTTTAATACATAAAAGCGATTTTGTTATCTACAAAATATATAAACTAAAACCTATATTTCTCTATATACGTAAGGTTCATACTACTTTAATTACAGTACCTAGGGTCACTGTAATGCAACGTTTTGGGCACTCACCGAGTACAGTCGAACAGGCACGAATACGCAAATATAAACATCTTGTTCGGATGTTCTCGCTACTCGGCCCAACTATTCGCCTGTTCTCCACTCGATATCGGTTTAACATCAATTTTTACATCCATGTACCTATGCATACATGCTCAGCGATTAAAGATACTCTTAATTTGACCCATCTTCAATATCTCGCCAATTCGGTCAAATAGTCTGTGGTCAAAAAGTCTCACAGCGTAGAGATTGTCGCCAAATAATTTTGAAAAGTTCCCAACAAATAATTATTACCTTCAGATTGACTGAATAAGCTGTTAATTTTATGTGATTTCAAATTTTCTTTTTCAATAGTGTTGGAGTGTATGTCAAGGCAAGAAAGCGTTTATTCTTTATTTTCTATTTTAGATATCTGTGTTTTATATTATACCGTTATGTGGCGGTGTAAGAATATCCATTACCTCATATCATCCCGTGGGTGTCGTAAGAGGCGACAGAGGCTTTAGCGTCTTCCTAATAACGATTAAAAATAAAAAACTGCGGTTGCCAACCCACTTGCCAAACGTGGCAACTATGGCAAATATAAGGCAATCTACGGGGGAGCCCTATGTTTAGCAGTGGACTTTAATAGGATATAACGGTAACGGTAATGGTGCATTTGTAAGTAAAATACAGCTTGCTTAATATACAAACTTAAAAATGTTATGATTTACGGTCGTATTTTGACCTCTGGGTGACCACTAATATCCTTTTTTTATTGCGAATTGCAACAGCATCCAAATTAGCAACACCAATAACTTTCTTATCCAATAACTATTTCTTCGGTATTTTCTCTTCTGAGCTGGGTGATCCATATTTCTCTTTTAGAATTTGGTTTACAGTCTTCGCTACTATTCCTAATGCTTCGGCAACGCGTTCTCTCGCCCGCGTCACAGTGTTTGGTTTACCATTATTAGATTCACGCTCAAAATAGTTATACAATTACGCCACTAATCTGCAAGGCAACAAAAACAGTAAAATTGTTAAGCAATCAGAGTACAAATCATGGAATCAGGTAAACGTCAAAGTAAGATCTATTAATAATAATTGAATTGAATTAAAATAATAATTGTACGTGGTAGAGCCACGCTGCAGCTATATGAATAGTATAGTTGTAGTATGAATGGGTCGGCTCGACCGGGGAAGGCCACGCTCTCACAGAATACCAGCGTAAAATAGCAGCTTAATGTTGCTGTGTTTCCTATGGTGAGTGTAGAGAACCGGAGATCCATTTTACTAGAAAAGAGGCATTCTATCTTATTCCTCACGGCTGACAACGCATCTGCATTTTAATTCGCAAACGAAGATAGATGTGGATGTCTATGGGCCACAGCAGCCACTTACCATCAGGTGGACTGTGTGCTCGCTTGTCACCCATATTCTATAAAAAAAAGAGCAGTTTAATGAGAAAAGCCGGATCTGAAGAAAAGTAACAGAATGCACTTTATAATGTTGGCCGACACCCAGCTAAGCCTACGGTAATGTTGGATAATGTGCTCTGTGCTGTAAGTCTAAGTAGAGGATTGGTAGAGGTAACAGATAAGGGCCTTCGCTATAGGTAGTAGTCATAGAATTATTACTAGAATTGTTCTAATAATAATTATATTGTAATAGTGTTCTGCAAAGTTATGTCTTGCTCACAGAACACTGTTACTCCTCACAAATCATTATTACCACAGCTTAATATATACTCCCGAAAATTATTACGTCTGTAGTCTTTTATATAATGTTCTGTGGTGTGGCCTAAAGGTCTAGATGCCAGGCCATAAACTCCAAAAAAAAATGTTCTGTGGTGAGAACGGTGAACTGTCACTGTCAATGTGTCATTGATATTGAATTTGAATGTTATCAATCGAATAGCAGCGGTCAAGTACCTACAAATGTTTTTCACGGCTAATCCAATCATTCGCGGTGTTTCGACATTCGTTAAACGCACCTCTCGAGCATTACACGCCTCTCAAATAACAATGGCTCCTATTCAGGTAATTAGTCCCACAATGTAAGATGTAAGTTGTAATTATATAATACCCGGCGTAATTGACATTTAAATTTCAGGTTGGTGATAAATTGCCTTCTGTCGATTTGTATGAAGATTCACCAGCAAATAAAGTCAACATATGCGACTTAACCAACGGAAAAAAAGTTGTTCTGTTTGCGGTGCCCGGTGCTTTTACTCCTGGCTGCTCTAAAACTCACCTACCAGGATACGTGCAAAATGCTGACAAGATGAAGGCCGACGGTGTAGCAGAAATCGTGTGCGTTTCGGTTAATGATCCCTACGTTATGGCTGCTTGGGGAGCCCAGCATAACACAAAAGGAAAAGTAAGAGTTTAAATAATATTTGTATTTTGCATATTTAAAATATTTATACAAAAATATCCATCCCATTGACTAGGAGTAGCATCAAAGGTGGGAGGAATCTGGTATTGTGATCACTAATCCACTTTCCTTGTGTGGTGATTGCAGCAAGTGCTGCTGACGAGATTCTTGCTGGTTTTTACTAGGACAATGTTTTTTTTTTCTTAACCAGTAGTAAAATTTAAATGACTTAATATTATGTATTCTTGTAATCTATATATATTAAATAAAAATGATTCTTTTCTATTCTAATGGGCTATTAAAGAAAATAAGTGAATGTTCAAAGAAAAAAGTTAAAACTATTACAGTTATTTTATAGAATGCTTTATATAATTCATGATAGCACATGTATAGGTAAGTATATAAATTGTACTTCATATCTCCTTAGTGACTACAGACTTATTGACTGACCTCCAACCTTATGTGATAGTTAATTCACTGTTTTTAATTACAAATGAAGTCAATTTTGTGTTACCAAAATATTTTCTGCATGTAATACTCGTAATAACTATTCATAATGTGCAGTGTATATTGCTATTAGCAAATAATTCAAAATTAATAATACTTTATATAAATTATACTATTTATTGTTTCTTAAAATATTTAAGTTTTCCCATTTTATTTTCTTCTAAAGTAAACTTAAAACTCTAAAAATCTAAATAATATCATCAACAATAAATATTTCAAGGAAAGGTTTTCTAACAATAATTTTGTAAACATTAACAAACAAACATAAGTGTTCTTTATTAGCAAAGAATATTTTATCAACCTATAAAAATATAAGTGTGTCATACTAGTAGTGTTTTTCTTACTTTCTGAAAGTGTTATATACAATAATATTTTTAAATACTTAATGATCATTACATTACAAGCCTTTTACAAGTCCAATACTGAACATAGACTAACCTTATATCCTCCCTTAGTAACAACCTGGTATGATATGCAGGAAGTTAATAATCAACCTTAACTTCCTGCATATCTCCTTGGGGGATGCCTACATAGTAACTATAAAATATTGTAATTAAAATATATGACATTTTTACAAACAAAACTTTTATGCACATTAGTAACAAAAATATATTTTGCCATCAGGTTCGCATGCTAGCAGACCCCAGTGGTAACTTCATTAAAGCCTTGGATTTGGGCACTAACCTTCCCCCATTGGGAGGTTTCCGATCAAAACGCTTCTCCATGGTCATCAATGACTGCAAAGTTGAAGAGCTGAATGTGGAGCCCGATGGAACAGGTCTTTCTTGCTCCCTTGCCGACAAACTTAATTATAAGAAGTAAAAGATGTTTTAAACTTGCAAGTTATGTTATTTTAGCAACAAAATGAAATTGATTAGATTACATTCTTGCATTTGTATTAACAAATCTTCTATTTAGCTTGTTAAATAATATTTCCGTTCCACATTTGATACTTCTTACCTACTTCAAGAAAAGTAGAGTTATCAATATCAAGGATAGTACTTTTTGTGTTTGTTACACAATTGTTCCATTTTCCAGTTTAGTTGTTAAACCAATTTTTCTATCACTATTTCTTTCATTATTATTCTGATACATTTACTCAATACGAGTTGTATCTATTAAAATAAAGTCGACAACATTGTTCACCAAAATTACATAATCAGACTGAGCACTAGGTACATATCTGAGATTAGCTTACTTTTCTGAACAACCATACTTTTAAAATACTTTGTATTTTTTAAACAATATCATAGATATATCATGTTATTTCCCTTAATATAAGGAACAGCCTTTGCTTGAGTGTCAATTTTTAATGAACATTGTAAGGTTAACTTTACAAATATGTAATATTTTATATTAAAATGGAATTGAACACATTGCTTTACTTTCCTTATAGACTGTAAAACACTCCTTGTGATAAATATAAAAATAAAATCGGGTTTTTAAATCTAAAATGACTTTGAATTAATGTGACCCGGTTAGAGTACCTGATAACTATATCGCGGATCGCACTATCGGGATTGTATTCGAGTATTGGTACAAAATAAGTAAAAAAAGAACTATTTTTCTTCTAAACACTAGTATCCTGTGGGACTCGTAACCATAGCCAAGCATTGTAGCAGGCAAACGCTTCGCCACTGCGCTACCGAGCCGTCAATGTATAATGTAATGTTATGAAATTGATCAAAAATTTAGGGACACGGCAGTGCCCCCGCCAAGTCGAGCAAAAAAGCGGCACTGCCGTACCATCCTTTTCTCGAAGCAGTCCAGGCCATCTTCGAAACCCTATAACTTTGTTGTGAATAAAGCTAGAAGCCTGAATTTTCAATAACCGAGTAGGAACTGTATAAACTCAGTATATTTCAAATTTCATTAAATTTGAACCTGTAGTTTAAGAATTATAACTAGTCAAAATTTCTTAATTTTGTCACTCACTGACTGACCGATCATCAAAACTCTAAGGCACTTCTAGCAGACATAAAATCTTCAAATTTGGAATACAATTATTGTTTAGTTATATAAATCAAGAAAATATTAAAATATTTTGCAATTTCAGTCCAATTTTCGAGATACACCAACTGCATAAATAACTTTGTAATCCCATATAAATATATCGGATTACAAAGTTACATTTGCAGTGAATGAATCAGTGTACCTATATACATGTATAATATAATGGAATAATAGGTGTAGATAGGTTAGGTACCTACCTAGATATAACTATCTACAAAAAGAAATGAGATGCCATCAAAAACATAACTTGTAAAAAAAACCAAGTCTCGCAACTCAGTTCCTCTATCGTAAAAAGTTGTTATATCCATGTAATACCAAGTCGGTTAATTTATTCAGTCCCTACTTAAGGGTCCTTCTGTCTTAAGTTATTACGTAATTAGCTAACCTAACAACATCTTATAGTGACCATATCAATATTAAAAATCTTTTGTTTTAAATAAATAAATTGACTTGGCAATCGCACTAAACAAACTAATTTAATATAATACCTATGTATTACTTGAGAGATACATTGTGTTTTCATACGATGGCAAAGTCAATCTATTTATTTAAAACATAAAAGATTTTTAGTATTGATGTGGTCGCTATAAGATGTTGTTAGGTTAGCTAATGACGTAATAACTTAAAGACAGAAGGACCCTTAAGTAGGGACTGAATAAATTAACCGACTTGGTATTACATGGATCTCACAACTTTTTACGGTAGAAGAACTGAGTTGCGAGACTTAGTTTTTTTACAAATTATGTTTTTGATGGCATAGACTTTCAGCGAATATGCAGATATTATTGAGTATTCGGCCTGTTCGGCTACTTTTATGTTATTCGGCCTGTTCGGCTACTTTTATGTTATTCGGCCGAATACCGGATACTTAAGTTAAATGTATTATTGTAGACAGACAATTGGTAATATGAAAATATCAATTTATTTATTTTATAATAATATATTTTTCTTGTATAATCATTAAAGTAGTCATAATTTATAAAAAGTCCGTATCATAAAAATTAACAAAAGAACTCTCACATCAATATGTATGTACTTGAGTTATCGTAATTAAAATTTAGAAGTGGAATGGAAGATTATAGTGCAGAAAGACCAATTTTTATTCATTTTCACAGAGTAGTTTACTACTTTTCTTTTTGTAGACAATCCCAGTTTCAGTGAATAAACACTACTTACTTCCTTCCCGGCCGAAAACTTTTGCCTAATATTTGACCAGGATCCCGCCGAATATTTGGTATTTGGCGTAAGTATGACAACGTCGCCTGTAATATACGGGCGACGATGTCATACTGATACAAATATTGCATAATCATGTTTAAATTTTATTTCATTCAGTTTACATAAAAATTTAAACAATTCCGTAGTCTTGAAGAACGACTGCATGAGTCAGCAATTTACCTGCCTGTCACTTAGCCTTGTGACGAAATTTCAGCCGACAAACAACTGTGAAAATTAGACACAATTAAAATTTAAACGATTAAATAATCGATACGACATAGGGACCTTCAAGAAACGAAATTACTACATTTTGAAAGGCCGGATGTTGAACATGGGCGGCGGTTGACTATTACCATTGCATAAGCTGAAATGTCGTTCGTTATTTCTTTTATAGAATAAGGGTGACAAACAAGCATGTAGTCCACCTGATGGTACGTGTATGCTGTGGCACATAGACATCTACATCTATCCTCGATAAAAATGCAGATGCGTTGACACCCTTGACGATTAAGATGGAAAACCTCGTTTCCAGTGAAGAGTCTTCGGTGCTCTCATTATACGAAACACAACAGCATTAAGCTGCTATTTTACTCTGGTATTCTATGAGAGCGTGGTTCTTCCCCGATCGAGGCGATCCATTCGTGGCATAACTATAATATAGCTGCAGCATGGCATTACCACCTTTAAAACCTTTCTTACACCCTCTGCTATAAAAAAAAAAAACTTCAATTTGTATATTATCCCCATGTCTCCATACCAACGGTGAATGTACATGGTCTATGGATATATAAAAACGAAAGAAGTTACTAGTGCATTTGCCTCTGTGCTTCGGGCTAATACCTACGGGTTTACCTTTATTATTGTGTTTGATTAAATCTTGCAATAGGTGATGTCATAAGGAGTAACTTAGGCTACTTTTATTTAAGAAAAAGAATTAGGGTTACTCGCAAAAAAATGAAAACCCTAAATTACACGCGGGCGAAGTCGCAGGGAACAGCTAGTTGTTAAATATTTTAAAAATGAAAACGGCAGACTTATGGGGGATTTTTGTGAAAGTAATTGAGTCCATAACTGTGCCCTACAGGCACATTTGTGTGCTGGATTGGTGGAGAATAAAACCGCTGTGATATTTTTCTTTCTTCTATATTTGGTGTTTTCCTTGAGGTAGCTGGCCGCCGACTGTGTCGAACGACGAAAATCGCCCCTCTTTTATACCGCCTCGGGCTGGGTCAATGGATACGGCCGACGCATCGTACAAATGGCGTCGACCAATCAGCGCGAGGCGTGACAGAGCAAGTGACGATGCTGAGTCCCGTTACATTGTTTGTCTTAAGCTAGTTCTATATCTTACTGAGTCATTGTTTACATTGTTTACCTTAAGCTAGTTCTGTTATACAAAGTGACCAACTAATTTTATTACACAAATATAAGCTCTACACTATTATTTTCTTAACATAAAATGCTTATATCCTATCTAAACTATAATCTCTATTAATATAAATGTTTATCCTATCTAAGTACAAACTAACTATAATATTTATTCCATTAATATAAATGTTTTTGTCTTATTTATGTATCACTATTTGTTTTTCTCTTGTCCCGCACATCACTCCCGCCGTGCGACCGCGTCGCATCAGCTTCCGGTGCGGGCTCGACGTCCGTAGATAGAGGCAGGATCACAAGCTTCCTTACTGGCCGGCGTAGGACACCTCCCTTAGTTAGCACGTCCACAGTCCGCACGACGTTGTCGGGACCCGGATATGTAGCGATGACTCTTCCTCGTATCCACACGTTGCGAGGCAGGTTGGGATCGACGATCTGTACGAGGTCGTCGACGCGTGCTGCTTGGCCTTGTCCGTGGGGCTCCCGCCGGTGTTGAAGCTCAGGGAGGTACTCCTTCACCCAGCGTAACCAGAAGGTGTCGGCTAGCCTCTGCGCAGCTCGCCAACTTGACCGTGAGAGGGCGTCTCGTTCGGTGAAAGTGCCTAGCTGTGGTACTCGTCCCGGTCCTCCCAACAAGAAGTGGTTATGAGTGAGAGCTTCGGGATCCTCTGGACTGACTGAGACGTGAGTCAGCGGTCGGCTGTTGACGGTGTATTCCACTTCTACCAGTAGTGTCATGAGGACTTCCTCCGTCGGATGACGTTCGTGCAACGTCGCGATAAGAGCGGTCTTGACGGAGCGAACCATTCGCTCCCAGGCTCCGCCCATAAATGGAGCTCCAGGCGGGATGTAGCGCCAGGAGATAGTCCTTTTTGCTGCTTCTTCTGCGGTCGCTGCGTCGACCGCCTGTCGTAGTTCCTTATCGGCTGCCTTCAGGTTGGTGCCGTTGTCTGACCATATTTCTGTCGGGCAGCCTCGCCGTGAGATCATCCGCCTTATGGCCATTACCGCGGAGTCAGCGCTAAGTGAGCCGGCAACTTCTAGATGTATGGCTCGCGTAGTGAGACATGTAAAAATGGCCACATATCTCTTTTGTCGAATTCGTTTGTAGTTGACTCTCTGTTTGGTGTTTCTGCAGAGTTGAATGAACTGTAGAACACGTGCGGTTGAGTATCGGAGTCGGTCCCAGTTGGAGAACTTCGCTGGAT